CTACTGTGTTTTTTCTTTCTTTCTCTCTCTCTCCTACTGGTGATGAAACATACAGCCTTGTCTGCTAAGCATGTATTCTGTCATTGAGCTACAATCCCAGCCCATGCACAATTTCTGAATCTGAATTATTGCCCGTCTCACATATCTGGAATATATACAATTGAATAAGTGATAAATAATAGGCCACAGAAAGGAGGACCATACCACTTTCATAAGGAATTTTGTCCAGCTGCTCAATATCATCCTGTTTAATCCCAGGAAGACCTGGTCCTAAAGCAAACTGTTCAACACACAGTCTTGACTCTGCCTACCATGTACCAACATGGCCCTGGAAGGGTAACAGGTGACTGACTGAACCCAGAACAGAGCACAGTGGCTACTTACAGGGTTCATTATTTGTAAGAAATAAAGCAATGCCTTTGATCAAAGTGGCCCATTAGCACTTAGCACAAATGAAATTTACAGCAACTTCTTAAAAAGAATACAGTGAGTCTCATTTTGGCTTCAGAGACCAGACATTTCATTCTTCAGAACACCTAAGAAAAAGTTCTTACTAAAAGTAATGACTGATACCAGGTAATTTTTGCCTTGTAACAGAAAATATTATATGAATAACCAAAATGCAGGGTTTTGTTCATTTGTTTTTTTTTTTTTTAAATGGAGACAAGAACTGGCTATATAGCTCAGGCTGGACTTGATTGAGATCTTTCTGCCTCTGTCTCCCACGTGGTGATATCACAGGCATGCACTGTCACACCAGACTAAAATGTACACTTTTAGATCCAGATTTTTATGTGGCAGTGGCTGCAAGAGACCTCATTTGTTCATTCAGTCATTCTACATGTTTACTGAGAGAGTGGCCATGTGGGTTGGGCACATTGATTGACAGCACAGGTGAAAAAAAATGGTACCAGCAAGGATCTTTGTGACTTAAGGCACATGACATGCCAGAGGTGGACATTAGGGGTCTTTCTCAATGCATGATGCTCTCCACCTTAGTTTTTGAGACTGAACTTGGGGTTCATTGATTCAGCTAGGCTGGATGGCCAATGAACACCAGAGATCTGCATGTCCTCTTGTCCCCAAGGACTGGGGTTCTAGAGACACATCGCCACATATGGCTTTTTATGTGGGTGCTGGGAATCTGAACTTAGATCCTTATGCTTGCATGGTAACCCCTTTACTGACTGAGCCATCCCCCTGGCCCCGAGATTCACAGTGTGTTGAAATGCACCTGGAGACACCACTGGGCTCCTGAAAGGGGCACAGGAGCAGCTGTTGCTGAGGTACTACATTTTTATTCTTATGCTTCAAACTATGTGCAGTTAGCTGAATAATTAGGTTGCATTTTAAAAATTGCAAATGTGGACTCCCTTTTTATGAGTTTTTCTCCTAAATCTGGTAAAGCCAAGTAAAGGAACCTACAGTGGCCAGAACAGAGCAACAATCAGTTTCTTTCTATGTTTGTCTGGAAACTCTTAAGTTTTCCTCTCAAGCTCTTGCCCTTTAATGTGTGCTCTATCATAAACTCACCTGTGCAATGAGACTACTGTTTTCCACTGAGAATTCTTCAAGGAGGCAACTGATGAACCATCTGGTAGAGACATATGACCTCTTTAGTTACCACTACTAGAGAGGCTGCCAGAGGCCCAGAATACCACAAAATTTGAAAAAGAAATGCCATCAGATGGATGGAGCCACAGCTGAAGTCTCTCTCATGTCTCAGTAATGGAACACAAACACTGGGATGCCTGTTCACCAATGATAAGACTCAAGGAAGGCCCACCTCAAAGAGCCAAGACTCAGTGGAAGAATTCTGAAGAGCCATATAAACAACCCTTTCCTCTAGGCAACAAATCAGCTCAGCACACTTTTTTACAGAAAAAGATAAAAAGCAAAAAGATACCATGGAATCCCCTTGCTTTTTCCGATTCTTCTAAATAAGATCACTCACTGCCAACCTTCGAAAGACTACGATGAAGGAACTATGATTCTAAAGTTTCCTCTGGTTTCAAGGCTTGCTTTTCCTTTGTTCCAAATGCGACAGTGTTAGTGTATGGAAACACAAAACTCCGTTTTAAGGTGCCAAGGCCTCACATACCTTACTCACTCAGAGATACAAATGGAGAAAGTCACACTGAGGCAGACGGCAATCAGCGAAGCCTCTTTTAGGTTTATGTAGAAAAGGTGGGTTGGCAAGCACATCTGAGAAGCCATGATTGTTTGCGTTAGTTTACAAGTCAGCTGAAAAAAATATATTCTTGTTTACTGATCTCATAATTGAAAAATGAATTTGTCATTTCTATGCTTTATGGTGACTGTTTTGAGGCCTCCCTGTGGCTTTTCAGCTTGAAGTCTTTGAAGAAAGAGCATGGGTATAACCAACAAACCAACTAAACCAATGAACTAACGAACAAATGAACCAATCATTCTAGAACCGCCACCACTTTACTGCTTCCACCAATGACTTGACTCCTGACTCAGGGACCCTCATTCTCTCATGATCTCCCATGCTAAATATTCCATCTGAGTCCTTTTCACTTGAATGAAAAATAAAAGGATGTGAGATCCATGATTAAAAATTAGATGCTTCTTTGTGGTATTTCATGACTTACATACCCTTATTGATCTATAAGATCGTGTGGTGGGGAGCAGAATTGTACTACTTGACAATATACATGAATATTAGTCTGCCAATAGTCAGATCGTCCAAAATGGGACATATAACCAACCACCCAAAGCCACACCCCTTCTCCCTTCCATTGAGCTCTTTTTTTCCCTTCAAAAGTCACTAGATATTCAAGAGAAAATGCCATTGCAACTTCCCAAGCATCCCATCTGGACAGGGTGTGCTGCAAAACAGCTTATTTTTTGTGACTAAAGCAACAGCCCCCAGGTTTCTCAGTTTCTAACTTAGTATTGGAGCAGAGGCCTTTTGGCAAACAAGAGTCCACTGGAGAGCTGGATCCCAGAAGTTCTCCAGACATGAGGTAACTCTGAAGTCTGTAGGATTCATAGGGACTCCTGAGGACTCTGCCCACAGCCTGAAGTAATCTGGTGGGGAAGCAGCTTTGATCAGAGAGGAAGACTCGGATGGCTGCAACCCACCAGAGCAGCCCTGGTGTGAGTTCTCAGAGGCTGGAGTGAGACTATCCGGCATAACTGTAGTAATGTCTTCTGGGGAGGGAGGAGAGAGTCATGAATATATGATGTGGGAAGGAGGAGGGTGTGGCATGAGGGAAAGAAGAGGACCTGTCCCGTGCTGAGGAGATGTGCTGGGGGTAAGGTATAGCTCCATGCAGAGCCTGCCCATGGTGCTGGGATGCTGGGGGCTCTCTACTGTCTCTACTCTCACTTCACACGCGCAGGTGGGGATAAAAGGTGCAAGCCCCACAGAGGCCTGTGGTGAGGAGTCACAGTTCCTGCAAATACCGTATTTCTCCTTTTGTCAGGTATCATGGCACGGAGATAATTACTAATTAACAATCCCACCATGCTTTATACAGACTCACAAGTAGGTTCTGAGATGCTTACCAACCATTGGCAGATACAGAGTGGACATTTTGAGACGTCTACCACACAGCAGTGTTCCTCTCAGGTAAAAAATTGCCCATCAAAGAGATTACAAGAAACTTCAACATAAAGGAACTCAAGAGAGGGGAATTATTTATAAATAGACTACATCAAATTGTGTGGGTTTTCTTCTTACCCAGCCATGGGCAAAAGCAATAGGGTACCTGCTTTCATTTTCCTTATATTTGGGTTTTCAAAGATTATAATCCATTCTAAATTTCAAGGGTCGCTGGAGCCTTTACAAAGACTTTAGGCGGGGGAATTAAGTAGAAATCAGGTTTGAAAAATAGGACAAGAAAAAACGATCATTTCTGGGTCGGCCTTGGATGATGTCATCATAGGCTCTGGATTTAACGGCTGAGCAGCGTACGTACACTAACTCTTCCTGCCCATGTGACCTCTAATATCCATTTGGGCAAAACAACTAATATTTCAATTATTTTCCTGGTTGAGAAGTGAGATTCAGGAGGGAAAGATTAAGGGGAGTTCAGAAAGCCAGGATGAAATGGTGTGAGCCTGTGAGTGTGTGTGTGTGTGTGTGTGTGTGTGTGTGTGTGTGTGAGCGCGCACGCGCACGCGTGGGGGGACCGAGGGGAGGAGGCATGGAAACTAACTCTTCCTGCACACACCCCTTTTGCTACTACAAGGGCATCCGGCAATCACATTTGCAATAGTAAAAATGCTGAAGAATCCTTTGGCCCCTTTGCTCTCACAGTCGTTCCCAGCGACTCCTACAAAGCCCTCCTCGCTTTATGGTTGTCAGGAAATTCTTCAGGGGTTAAATGGGGGAAGCACAGCCACTACCATTGTTGCAATAAATAAATGAATGAACCAGAACGAACCGGCGATCCATCCCTGGGAAGCGACTGATTTTTCTACAATTACAGATGGTAGCTGGCAACCATATATTAAAAAAAAAAAAAATTGTGCTTAATCTTTTGATGTGTGTGGACATTATACAGACACACATACACATATGCAAAAAGAAGTGTAGTGACCTGCATTCACGCAGCCAGACCTTTAAAAAAGGTTTTTAGTATTATTTATTTCAATGAAAAGACAGCTTTAAAAAAATTGGACAGGCTAGCAACTCATCTCAAAAGCCTTGTATTTTGCATATACAGCACACACACACACACACACACACACAAACACACACACAGACAGACACACAGAGAGACACACAGACACACACACACACAAAGGTTTTTTTTTTTTTTAACATGTCATAGACAACGCTAAATATCTGAGATCAGGTTGCTATGCCAACAGATTTTTTTTTTTTTCTAAAATGAATAAAATTATTAGGAGGGAGAAGACATTCCTGACTCCTTTTCCTCCCATCCATGAAGCCAAGGGAGGCTCAGGGAGGGCCAGACAGGGAGGAGGGGAAGGCAGGGAAGGTGGGTAGAGGGTTGTCTGCTTACCAAAGATGCTGATTTGATCGTGGCAAAGCGCTCTCGGTTCCGATAGTGGAGGGCCTGGCTCTGAACTGACTGGGTAGGCCGCGGCTCAGGCCTGGGATCGCCGTGGCCCGCCTCATCCCTTATGAATACATGATCCTGCAGAAATGGATGAAAAGAAGGAGAAAGTCCAGCTGTGCTCTTTCCTCGCCGGCTGCCTCTCTCTCAGCCCTCTTTCTGATCAAGCACCGCTGTTTGAAATGCATAGTTCAGCTCTCTGCTAGTCCCCGCAGCTCCCACGGTATACAGTGAATAAGCAACACATTGCAGCCTTCAGTTAGGAATGTCAGCTGATCGCTAGTGGGATGCCTTCTGACTCCCTGGCAGGCTTTTTTCCTTTACCTCCGGAATTACATATATGCAAAAGAAAAAAAGGAGAGGAGAGACAATGCCATGTATAGTAGACTCCTTAGAACAGTTTGCATAAAACGCGGTGACCAAATAATTCCTTTAAAAATGTCGTGTCCATGTCTGGCAAGGAGGATACTGGTGGCTTTTAACATAAAAGCGAGCCTCCAACTCATTCCCTTGAAAGAGCAGCGTTCTCAATCGAATTGTATCTGCGAGCTGGTCGGTGGCATCCTCCTTCTGCCTGGGGATCAGGGGAGGGTTGTGCTGAGCTGCCTCTCTGTCTTGTGCTGGGAAGATTCGGCAGTCACTGAGGGATCCTGCTTTCCAGTCATGATCGTACACAGTTCTAGCACCTTCTCTCTACAGCTTCTGAAAGGATTTTTTTTTTTTTTTTTTTTTTTTTTTTTTAGATTTAAAGAGACAGGCGTACAATTCCAACCTAATGATACTTTCCCAAATCGTCCCTCAACTCAGCATTGGCATGTATGTCAGCAGAGTGAGGAGGCTGGGATTCAATGTCCTTGACTGATTTAATGGAGCCCTGTGCGTTCTTGATGGGCAAAGATGATTAATCTCATTCTAACGCCCAGTGGATGAAAAAAAGATGCCCTGGATGGATGATAATGGACGTTTCTTAAATGCAACTGAAATGACTTTTAAAGGAGAAAATGCTTTCAAAAGACCATGTCCCTCTCTCTATAAAAGACGAGGGTGGTCAGTCAGTCGGTAGCTCTAACCCTTAAGAGTATAAAAAAACAAACAAACAATACTCTGGCAATTTGCAGCTGAAAACCATGTACAACTGTGGGGGATTTTTAAACAGCACATGCTCAGGTGGGGTAAGGAGAAATCAATGTCTTACCCCAGGGTTTTAGGAGAAACCTTTGGTTTTTGTATCTCCTCCATGAGAACTTAAAAAATTTTTTTTAAATATATAATTGCCCTTTCCTCCATTAGAAAGCAAGAACCAAAGATATTTAGAAAATACAAAATTTTATTATCTGAAATTAAAAAAAAATTAAACATGGAGATTTCTTGAGGGGAAATGACATTTTACAGCCAGGTTTTGGTGTAAAAGCTAAGATCCAACATTAAATTCATTATAGAACTGACTTTCCTTTTATAAGTTTTACATGTTTTGATGTGTAAGGAAGGTGTTTCCTGTTACATTTCTATTTAGACCTTTCTCCCATTTATATATTGAAGTTCAAATAATGAAGAGATCCTTAAATTTTTTACTACATTTTGTTATTTTTAGTTTGTGTGTGTGTGTGTGTGTGTGTGTGTGTGTGTGTGTGTGTGTGTGTGTACATGTGTTGTGCATGGCATACACATGGAGGTCAGAAGACAAATTTTGGTAGCCAGTTGTCTCCTTCTACCCTTGTAGGTTTTGGGTATTGAACTCAGGCTTGGCAGTAGACACCTCTAGCCACTGAGTCATCTTGTGGGCTTGAGAGATCTTGAATAAATTTGCCATAGCCATCAGATGTAGGTGTTGCACTACAGCTATGCTGACCAGCAGGTCAACCACTAGCCACATGTGGCTATTTTACTATAAATGAATTAAAATGAAATAAAATGTAATGTTTAATTCCTAAGTCACACCGGCTACATTTTCAAGCACTCAGTGGCCATGGCTGGTGTCCACCCACGACTGGACAACATAGATGTAGAACATTTATGCCACTGAAAAAGGTTGTATTAGAGGTTAACAAATGTATTTCTCGGGCCAGCAAGATGGCTCAGCAGGCAAGGCATTTGCTGCACAAGCCTGGCGACCTGAGTTTAATACCTGAAACCCACATAAAGGTGGAAGGAGAGAACCAACTCCACAAAGTTGTCCTCTAACCTCCATGTATGTGCCATGACACATGAATGCCCCACTCCCATCAAGTATACACACAATAATAAATAAAACGCAAAAAAAGTGCATCTCTTAAGATGAGTGTATACTCTGGAGGTAGGGGATATCATGAGTTTGAGACCAGTGAGTTGTATAGCAAGACAGCAAGACCTTGTCTCCCCGAAAAATAATTGCTTTTTTTTTTTTTGTTGTTGTTGTTTGTTTTTTGAGGCAGAGTTTCTCTATAGCCACAGCTGGCCTGGAACTCATGACATAGACTGGGTCTCACAGAGATCTGCCTGTCTCTGCCTCCCAAACCACGCCTGACCCAAAATAACTTTTCTTTTTGTCTTTTTGAGACAGGGTTTCCCTGTAGCCACAGCTGGCCTGGAACTCATTATATAGACCAAGTTGGCCTTGAAATCACAGAGATCCACCTGCCTCTGCCTCCAGTGCTGGGATTAAAGGCGTGTGCCACCATGCCCAGTCTTCCAAAATAATTTAAAAAATTTTTGTTATTTTTATTTTATGTATATGTGTGTATTTCCTGCATGTAAGTAACTGTACCCATGTTGTGCAATGCCCACAGAGGACAGAAGAGGCTGTCGGATCCCCTGGAACTGGAGTTATGGACAGTTGTTAGCTGCCATGTGGGTGCTGGGATTTGAACCTGGGTCTTCTGCAAGAACAGTCAGTGTTCTTAACTGCTGAGCCATATCTCCAGCCCCCAAAATAATTTTTAAAAAGCATCTTAACCTATGTTTTCTGAATCTTATGGAAAAAAATGCTCAAAGTGTTATTATTCTGTTTTATTTCCCAGGAAATCTGAACTTGGGAAACTCATGACATAGAAAAAAGAGCTTGGACTGTGACTGGGACCCATGCAAGTGGGTCTAAGGTTCTAAAGAAAAGCACTAGGCCTGCATTTTATGACCATGTATTTATTAATAAAACTACAGTGTTTGAAGTTGAACCTGACAGTCCCAGAAAAACACGAAGCTTTTACATGCCAGTATCACAGGAGACCTGTGAGGTGGAGGTTTGGGTTTTGAGTCATGGTTTCAGTGAGAATTAAACAGGTAGACTGAGAGGAGACCCTCAAATAAGCAGCAGCTATTTTCAAATGGTGATCACTTGACTTGCAAAGAGAGTCAGTGGCACTAGAACCCACAGTGCTCACTCGCAGAGCAAAGCAAAACTCATTCACACACAAGCATATGTTAGAAAAATCAAAACCCTGGCCAAGGTGATACTTACCTACAATCTCAGGAGTCAGAGGAAGCTGAGGCAAGAGGATAGTTTGAGGCTAGCCTGGGCTACACAGTGAGACTGTATATCAAAGCAAAACAAAATCAACCAACCAACCAACCAACCAACCAACCAACCAACCAACCAAACAAACAAACAAACAAAAACTGCTGGGCATGGTGGTGCATGCCTTTAATCCCAGCACTCCACAGAAGCAGAAGCCAATGGATCTCTTTGAGATTCAGGCCAGCTTGGTTGCAGGCCTGTTGGGTCTACAGGAAGACCTGGTTTCAAAACCAGGTGTAGGACCCTGCTTATCAAATTAAAAGCTATCTATATTTTCCAAGTTTATTAAATGTAAAGAAATTGGGGCCTGGAGAGATGGCTCAGTGGTTGAGAGCACTGACTGCTCTTGCAGAGGACCTGGGTTCGATTCCCAGCACCCACATGGCAGCTATGAACCATCCTTAACTCCAGTTCCAGGGGAATCCAAAGCCCTCTTCTGACCTCTGCGACATTGCACCACACGGGTGCATTCACATATATGCAGGCAATACACTCATACACATAAAATAAAAATAATTTTAAGCGCCGGGCGTGGTGGCACATGCCTTTAATCTCAGCACTCAGGAGGCAGAGGCAGGCAGATCTCTGTGAGTTCAAGGCCAGCCTGGTCTACATAGTGATTTCCAGGACAGCTGGGGCTACAGGGAGACCCTGTCTCAAAAAGACCAAAAAAAAATTTTTTTTTTAATGTAAAGAAATTGGAATATACTCAGAAAGCTAAAACTTGAAATTCGATGGATTGTCATTGACGCATGGGTATTTAAATAATCCAGTAAGGTATATATTAAAAATGACACACATAATGAGCTGGAGAGATGGCTCAGGGGTTAAGAGCACCGTCTGCTCTTGTAGAGAACCCAGGTTCGAATCCCAGCACCCACATGGAAGCTAACAACCATACGTAACTCCAGTTCCAAGGGCTCCAATGCCCTCTTCTGACCTCCAAGGGCACTGCATGACATGGGTGCACTTAACATACATGCAAGAATACAGTGACACACATTTAAAAAATTAATAAATAAAATGTTAAAAAAATGACACACAGTAGTGTGTGACCTACTCCAGAAAGAAAGGCTACTTTAGCTTTTAGTTCAAAGACAAAGCCCAAGTTTTATGTAACCTCTTTTAAATATGTTAGATAATGTTAGCAGTACAATTCTTTGCTTTGCCCTAACTTCTTTTCTTTCTTTTAAAATTATTATTTACTGTGTGTGTGCATGTGGGTGTGCATGTGGACACTTGGGTAGTACAACACACACACGAGGTCAGAGAACACTTGTGGGAGTTTTCTCTCCTTTTACTTATGAGTTCAGGGAATTGAACTCAGTTTGTCAGGTTTTGTGGCAAGTGCCTTTATCTGATGAGCCATTTCAATGGCCCACTTTTTCTTTTTTGTTTTTAAAGTTTAAAAAAAGTATATTTATTTCTAGTTTATGTATATGAGGGTTTTGCCTGCATCTATGTAAGTGCACCAGGGTTGTGCAATGTCCATGTGGGCCAGAAGAGGGCGTTGGATCCCCTGGAACTGAAGTTATGGATGGTTATTGGCTGCCATGTGAGTGCTGGGAAGAGAACCTGGGTCCTCTGCAAG